TTTGGGTGCCAGAACCTGCTTCCCTATCCTTTCAATTTTGATTTTAAAACATGGCTTCGGACCCGTTAAGTTACCGTGACTTTCGAGAAACGGGCCCCAGGCCTTGATTTCCTTCATCTCACGATAGGTAAATAGGCCCTACTTTGACCGCTTGCATGCGTTAATTTGATGCTAATTAAATCCGCATGTAAGCGGCTAATTTCGAGCGAATCGGGTGCAGGAAGAGTTCATTGAATTCAGAAGGATTTAATTTGTAAAGAGAACTGAGAACAAACAAAGTAATGGCTACTGAAGATAATTGGCAGACGAAACTTCCCACCCTCATCGAAAGAACTGAGTTCATTTTCAACACCGATTTACTGAGCGATGTGAAGTTTGTCGTTCCAGTGTCGACTGGTGAAAGCGAAAGTAAGAAGGTGATCCCAGCTCACAAGTTTGTTCTCGCAATCAGTAGTCCTGTGTTCTTTGCTATGTTCTATGGTCGAATGGCGAGGACCAAGGACTCTATTAGCCTGCCTGACTGTGAGTACGAGAGTCTGTTGGAGTTTTTCCGTTTCTTGTACAGCGACAAAGTGAATTTAAGAGGAAATAATGTGATGCAAGTGTCGTACTTGGCGAACAAATACATGGTGCCTTCGCTTGCCAAGAAATGCACGGAGTATCTTCGTGACAACCTGAAGGCCTCGAACGTGTTTTGTATTTTGCCACACGCACAGAAATTTGAAGATAAAGATTTAGAAGATCGATGCTGGAAAGTGATCGAGAAGCAGACAGACCAAGCTGTGACGTCAGACGAATTTGTTACAGTTGAGCGATCTGTAGTTGAATCTGTTGTGAAGCGAGAGGAGTTGAACGTGACGGAAGTAGAATTGTACAAGGCAATCGATCGCTGGGCCACAGAAGAAGTTCAAAGGCGAGGGTTAACTCCTGATGGAGAAACAAAGAGACGAATTCTTGGTGAGGACGTTCTTAAAGCAATACGATTTCCATTGATATCACAGAAGGATTTTATGTCAGTTGTATTTGATTCCCATATCCTCACTATTCATGAGGTTGGAAACATGATGAAACATTACAGCGGCGTTTTAAAATCTCCTTTGCTATTTGGGGATACCGCTAGGAGCCTTTTATTTCGATGTGTCCGATTTCTAAAGTTCAATTGTGCAGGTGGTTATGGGGAAGCTTGGACTTACAAAGATAGAGCTGACAGTATTGAGTTTACAATCAACAAACCAGTCTTGTTACATGGTGTTCAGCATTTTGGCTCAGACGGTGGAAAGTATACTGTTTCTACCGAAGTTAAAGCTACAGCCCACAATTCTTGCCTCGGAAAGGAATCAGGAACATACTCTTCAAAAAAGGACGTGACTAATAATTATCATGGCTTTGATGTAATGTTTAATCCTCCAATTCGTTTGGAGTCTCATGTAAACTATAGGCTTGTGTCGCTTATCAAGGGTCCTTCATCATGGTATGGAGAAGAGGGACAAACGTCTCTTAAATTCCCCGGAGGGCAGGTCAATTTTACACCCTCAGTGGAGAGTACAAATCAAACTTCGGCAACAAGAGGTCAATTTCCAGCTTTCATATTTAGTCGAACTTAAAGCATAGGTACTAGGAAATTATTTTTGGATTGTTTTTCGCTGCTAAAAGTGGTTGAAAATAAAAAGTCTTGAATACATTTTTTTATTCTTTACGACCTTTAACGTGTTCAGAAGAGAATAAGTCGCCACAAATATTGGAATGCTTTTGTAAATTTCATTCATTACATT